AGTCCTCCTCTGTCAGAGAGCTCTTGGGTCACAGCAAACTACACATCCCAGGGTTCCACAGCATGGAGCCATGGCAGTTCAGGTGGTGTCAAACTGCATTAATACTGCAGTGCAGATTAGATTTAAGTCACACACACCCTCACAAAGGAGAGAGAACTCTCTGGTTGGACTAGATTTCCCAACCAAGGCCAAATCATCCAGGACTGCTATCTTCCTCCCACTCCAAAAACTTCTCACCTCGGTTGATTTAGGAACTCCTCTTCCATATTCCATATTCACATGGAAAAGGAAGAAAAGAATCACCAAGAACAGGCAAGACTTTAAGGTCCAACCCACACTGCAGAAATAATCCAGTTTGAGACCGCTGAATACTAGGGAATCCTGGGAACTGTAGTTTGTTGTGGCACCAGAGCTCTTTAACAGAGAAGGCTCAATGAATGTCTCATAAAACTGCAGTTCCCAGAATTCCCTAGCACTGAGCCAGGGCAGTTAAAGCGGTCTGACAGTGGATTATTTCTGCAGCGTGTTTTGGACCTCATCTGGCGCCACATCCAACTACAGTCCCTAGAGCCGCATCGCATGGCAGTTAAAGCGGTGTCGCACCGGATTATTCCTGCAGTGCGGACGCAGCCTACGTTTGCCAACCTTCTCCTCGCGATTGGGACTGATTATACCGGGACGATCCCCTGGGGAGCGTCCACACGGCGCTGACTCCCGAGGAAGCGGGTTAACTCCAGTTAGAAAGGAGGGAAAAGGAGAGGAAGAAGAAGGGTGGCAACTTTTTGGGGACACATGATGGTTGCACAATGCAAGATGCACGGTTTCCTCTCCTCTCCTCCCTTCCCACACACACACAACACTCACACTTTTCCTTCCACACTAGATCTTTGGAGGGTTTCAAAAGTATAATCCCCCCACCCAAAAAAATAAAATAAAATAATGCAAGCCAAATCAAGCAAGATCAGGGAGAAAAGAGGATCAGGGGGGAAGATCAACTTGCAAACAATAATAATAATAATAATAATAATAATAATAATAATAATAATAATAATAATAATAATGTTTCTCTGGGATTTACCTTCCAGCAGCTCCAGTGTCTCTCCTTCTCCAAGGCACAGTATATATATATATATATATATATATGTATGTATGTATGTATGTATGTATGTATATATTCCAAACAATTGAGAATAATCCCAGTGCAATCCCAGGCGAGCCCCTTCCAAAGGGAAAACGACGGGGAAGGGTGGGATGCAAGGCGGGGAGCAGGCTGCCCAGGCCCCGCTCGGATCCCCGACTCCCAGCGATGGGAAAAGGGCCAAAGGACAGAGCAGCTCCCCGTTCAGAAGCAGCGCCGCTTCGGCGGAGGAGACATCGCCAGAAGACCGGGACTCCCTCCGGAGCGGCTCAGGAATGCGGGGCAGCGCCCCCGGCGGCCGCTCCTCGGTACTGCAGGGCTCCCTCCTAGGACGCCGCTGGCCAAGGGAGCGTGGCTAAAGCTTCTTCCCTGGGCCCAAAGGAAGGAAGGAAGGAAGGAAGGAAGAAAGAGAAGCAGCCCCAGCCTCAGAGGCCAGGGCAGGGCAGGGCAGGGCAAGGAGGGCCCCCAGGGCTGCCTGCCTCATGCACTTTCACACCACTCTAGAGCCAGGGGTAGGCAACCTTTCCCCTTTAAGGGCCGAGGGGCTTCAGCTCCCAGAATCCCAGGAGCTATTGGCTAACATGGGACTATTGGCCAACATGGCTGAGGCTTCTGGGAGCTGAAGTCCCTCGGCCCTTAAAGGGGAAAGGTAGACTGTAACCTGTATTACCCTCATAGGCCAAAGAGTTCAGAAGAAAAAGGAGGGGGGAAACAGGGCTTGGGGGGGAGGGGAGTAGTGGTCCTATTTTGAGGTAACTCCTTCTCCTACTCCAGAGTAAGATGTGTTTTTTTCTTAATGTTACTCCTACTCCTCTTCTACCCCACAATTATATATCTGTGTGTGTGTGTGTGTCTCAAAATTAACTTTTAACAGGCTTACAAATTCATATTACCTAAAACAAAATTTTCAGAAATTTAAATGTACAATATAATAATAGGAATAAGGACTTACAAATATGTTTTGTTACTCCCTTACTCTTCATTTCTACTCCTGTAAAAACCTTTTACTCCTTTATTCCTCATTCCTACTCCTACTCCTGCAAAAACCTTCTTTACTCCTCATTCCTACTCCTGTAAAAACTTTTTACTCCTTTACTCCTTATTCGTACTCCTACTCCTGCAAAAACCTTCTTTACTCCTTATTCCTACTCCTGTAAAAACTTTTTACTCCTTTACTCCTCATTTCTACACCTGTAAAAACCTTCTTTACTCCTTATTCCTACTCCTGTAAAAACCTTTTACTCCTTTACTCCTCATTCCTACTCCTACTCCCCAGCCCTAGTAAAAACACAGGTTAAAAACTGTATTTAAAATATCTTTTCAGATTACACAGCTTCAGTATAGCAAGACAAGATTGGTACTACAGTTGGCCCTCCACATCTGCGGATTTGATTATTTGCACTTTTGATTAAGATGTTCTCTCTAGGAATTTCTAGGTCCTCCAGAGAAACTCTTCCAGAAGTTGACCATAGAGTTGTGCTGGAGAACCTAGAGGTTCCTAGAGAAAACACTTCTCTAGGCATTTGTCGATCCTCCAGCATGATTCTGTGGCCAACTTCTGGCAGATGTTGACCATAGAGTCGCACTGGAGGACCTGGGGACTCCTAGGACGTTATCACACGTGGGCCAGAAAGCGATAATAAACTGGAAA